AACAAGCTTCTAACAAATCTAATAATTTTTAGATATAATTCTGCTTAAAACACTTTCTAGCTTTTACCTCTAAAGTTTTCTAAACTTAACATAACATTTTATTATTAAGGTCTTACTCTTAAGCCCTTATAGTAACTACTTTCTAAAAAAGTGTTTCCCTCTCTTTCTCTAAATAATCTTATATAACATTAGAAATAAAGGTGTTATATTTACTGTTTTTTTTTACACACTTAACGCACTTATCTAAGGATAAAGTTAACACATAAAATAACTCTAAAAATTAGTAAGTGCTATAGGGCCTTATTTTTATCTAGTAAAAAAGATTAAAACAATAAGTAATATAAAGACAGTAGAACAAACAGGACTAACAAGCTATTTAGTATAAGATAAATAAATGTTAAGAATGCCTTTTAGTAGGCAGGTGCCTACTTTATAAATAAACCTCTACTAACACAGTTGTGTAAGCAGAGCAGTGAGGACGCTGCTAGGGAGAGGGGGCAGCGTGTTACAGTCTACAGTTGGACTAGTGTAACTCCACCCAGGATGCTCTACAATATAGTACAGTTGGAGCAGGACTCGCTTACAGACCAAGCAGAGGACGCGGAGGTAGCACAGCTACCTAAGATTATAAAAGAATGCGTTGTCTAATAGGAGGATAGGACGCAAATCCTATAAGTCTAGAAGAGCTTAGCAAGCCCTGCTTAGCAGACTTATGTGGGCTTGTCTAGCTTGCCTTAGCGTCCCCTACACATGTATATAGTTCCTACATTAAACAACCTTTAGAAGGTGTGTTTAACATTTAGTTTATTTTTTATATAGACTAAGTAGCATTTAGCTTTTTAAAAAGCTGTAATACTATTTATATATCTTGCACTATATATACCTCTAACCCTGTCTAATAGGACTGTTTAACCCTAGCCTCCCTACTGCTGCACATAGGGCAAACCACAATCTAGTCACTCTTCTTCCCTCCATTAGCCCAATAGCCTGTACGTAGGACTGTACACCCTACCGGATTGGCCCCTACTACCCGTCCTACTTCCCCCCTAGGAACATCATAAGACCCGAGTGCTTCCCGAAGCAAGGATTGTAACAATAGTCTACTTTAATAAAATGTCGCAACCGCTGATTAGAGAGCAATAAGAAGCAAGTCTATTAACTACAAGAGGCTTGTAGGGAGCCTGCCTATGTAGTAGGAGCTCAGGCGCCAAGTGTCTCAGGCTGGTTGTCCGAAACACAGGCGCGACACCAGGACCATGTGCTCTCTTACGCGACATAAAATGTTAGTACTTTAATTATGTTTTACTTTATAACACTTATATTAGCTAAATAAATATTAAAAGAAATTTAATCTATAGTGTCTACTTTATAAATAGTATAAGTTTTACTATATAGTAGCTAATTCTATACTATTTTAGTCTATTTTTTAAATATTCAACTTTTTATTTAATAAGTAACGTACTTAAGAAGCAAGTTGCTTACACACCTAAGTTGCTTACTTTTGCTAAAACTACACTACAACACATTTTATTATAGTCTATAACAACCTACTCTAGCACTATGTAGTATAGTATAGCTTAGAATATTTTTTAGAGACTACTTTTAGTTCTTGCTTACATATTTACATGTTATACCTAGTCTAATTACACTATTTATAACTTAGAATAGCTTACCTACTTTAGCTTATACTTACTTCTTTGTTTTTTTTTATTACTAGACGCTTTAAACTTTTTAAAGTTATTAAGTGTTAGCTTTTTTAAACTATTAATGCTTTTTTTTTTACATAATTTATATAATATAGTAGCCTTATTAGCTACTTAAACCTTACAAATTTTCTATTATACTAACACTAGCTTTTACAGAATTACTACTACTCTTTTTAAAATCTTCTTAAACGCGTTAACTATAAAAGTTAGTAAACTGTTTATATGCTTTTAAATTCTTCTTTTAATAAGTATTAATTATAACTTAAGTTTTAAAGTATTACTCAAAGTTAATAACTACTAGAGATTATTATTAATAAAAAATAGTAGTAAAAACGTCTATAGCTTTACATTAAAGCCTATTATAATTTATTATAAGTTAAAAAAAAACTAATCTAGCGCTTTAAACCTTTTTTTAAATATTACTAAAAGTAATTATAATGTTATATGCTACTTTAAAGCATAGTAAAAACTGTATTTTTAGAATATAAGTAATTTAGTTGTGTATAAGGTTTTTAGCTTATTAATTATACACTTTTTTTTAAAAATGTAAAATAACCTACATTAAGTAGCTACAAAACGTGTGTTGTATACAACTATCCGCCTATATATATTGTTTGCATTGATGACTCGGATGCATCGTCAGCATGGTCACACGATAGTCGGATGTGTCGGATGTGTCGTCACACGATGGTCGGATGCATCGGCAGATGCATCAGCACCATAGTCTGTTGCCAAGACCCACCCACTTATTTCGCATATATATAGACTCCCGCAAAGGACTCCTCGAGAAATACAATTCAATCCAGTTCCTCATGTCTCTGGTGCCTCACATAGCTTCACATATATTCTTCTACTATGCTAGCTAGAAGGTTGACCTTTTAGTAACGCAACAAAGTGTAATAAGTAAAAAAGTATAACGTACTTCACAGGCAAGTTGCTTAGGAATCCTTCAATTCATATGGTTGATTTTCGTCAGCTCTGGCAATACCAAATGACTTCGAAGGTGAGGATTAGTTAGAAACATCATGTGATATGTGCTAATTACTTTCCTGTTGTAGGGCGCAATCGAATCATTATGTCTAACCAGTCAGATGCCACAAAGTTTCCTTGCCTTCCTTGAAAAGCACTTGAGCACCGTGCAAGATAAAATAACAAGTCAGATGCAAACTGCGTTCTCCAAGATCATGATCCGTAAAGAGGAAGCAATGAAGCATAACACCTCGCCTGAAAGGGAAGAAAAAGGGTGCCACCTTGCTACAGAAGAAAAAGCGTCTCTTTTCTAAATACTTATACTTATCTGGACATATGTCTCTCCTTCGCGGATTGCTTGGATTCGTTCCACCAGATGCACCTAACAAAGTTAATGGCGCGCTTGTCTGGCTCGCGTCCGCGACGGCTCATGATATACCCGACAACCAGTTAATATACAAACGATGTGTTTCCGCCGCCGAAACGTACTATACTGTTAATAGCGCTTTAAGTAGAGATGTTAAACATTCTATTTTCTAGCAGGAAGATATAGATGAGCTGAATCGTGGCGTTCACTACGAGTTTAGCGCTAGCTCACCTGGCACGATCAATCCTGATCCTATCACTACCCAGGAAGCAGAAGCAAGTCTCGAGGAATGTGCTCAATTGGTAACTAAGGAGCAATCGAATTTGGGGGTGACACCACTACATTACACCTTCCGGCTCCACAATCTCACAAAAGCCCTAGAATATGTGGAATTCTGGGTCAACGCCGGCACAGAAGTAGATGCACAAGCCCTCTTTTGCAGCGATCACATCCCTCGACTTACGTCCTTTAATCACGCAGTGGGTCAGCCGGGGACAGCATGTATATGGGCAGTCGCACAGAACAACCCTATCGCTGTGAAAGCACTCCTAGAGCACGGCGCCAACCCGTATTCGAAGAACATGCACCAATATTCTCCCTGGACCTTAGTAGTTAGGGCAAGACTTCTCTATATCCTCCGGATAATATATGAGGGCCCAAAATGTATCAATACCGCGGAGCCAAAAAAGGAAACGGCAGGCATACTCACGCAAAACGCTTTTTGGACTGTGCTCTCTCATGGACGACATTTCGTTCGCAGATCTGTACATGTCCTTGAGTACCTTTTATCAACGGAGATCCTAAGCCTTAGACAAGTGCTGGAACCGTTGGTTACTTTGCAATCATCTTGCCCCCTGACACTGCAAAAGATGATCGCAAAACACCAAGCTGCCATTTTACAGGAAGATGGTCTGGTATATGATCTCCTACACACCGCTGTTCTCAACAGCGAACCACAATCGGTTCAGACGCTACTATCCATTACGCCGAGGTTCACGAACACGTCGGCGTGCTTGAAACTCCTCTCTGCGGCCCTGTCCCCAAGAGGCACAAAGCAAACAGCTACCGCCATGCTGAGCTTGTTGCTAGCCCACACTGACCCCGAGTTTGATATCAACATCCGGATTACGTGGAACCATCCTGGCAGTGAAGCGCAGCTAGTCGCAGGAAGTGACAGCGGCGCCACGTTTCTACACCAAGCCTTCCAACACGGTCGCATCGAGCTAGTCGACATTCTACTGTCGCGGGGCGCGGATCCTAAACTTACAAGCGTTGACCCAAGGAGCCCCTCAACTCCTGGTTCTACCCCCCTAGGGTTTCTGATTGCATCCGGAACGGACCATGCCGCAACAGCACTCTCCCAGCTGCTAACTGCCAGGCCAAGATTCGTGCTAGAGAACGCGCTCACCCCACCTGCCCAAAATATCAACCTCTTCTTCCAAATTGCAAGTGCATGGGAGGCTGGCAGGATCCATCAGGACTTGTCGAACAAGACTTTGCGCTTACTTTTGCATCACTTCGCACAGGACGATGCGTCCAACCTTAAGGAGCTTCTCAATGCCCCTACAGCCCCGTATGGCATCACCGCTCTCCAGATCGCAGCATCCACCGGGTTCCAAGAAGCGGTAGAGATGTTCTTGAAGTATGAAGCTAATCCATTCATTGGCAATCCAGAGAAGTCGGCGCTCAAATTTGTGCATCAAAGGGGATTGGACGAGTCGCCGGGGGGCTCTGGATTCCTTGCTGATTGGAGCCTCCAGGAGAGGTTGTTTAGAATGCGAGGCATGCCCTGGTTTTCAGTGAATAGTCCTGTGGCGTTGAAGTTAAAGCGGGATTATGATGAGAGGACTGCGAAGACAGTGCGAGTGTTGGAGGCCCATCCCGACTTCAGGAGACTCTATCCTGGGACAGGCGAATTTTGACGTCGTTGTGTCTTTTTCAGTAGTGAACTTGATTCTTTAATGGGTTTGAGGGATTTTCTGCTTCTGTGTAGCGTTTCATCCCTAGGCCTAATGATTTAAGCGGACTGCGCTAATACCTAACATTAACCGTGCCATCGACGTTGCTGACATGGCAGTCGATGCTACTCCTAAAGACCACCCTGATCGAGCTAACCGCTTGAGCAGCCTTGGGAGCTATCTCTGCATCCGATTTAAGCGGACTAGGTTAATAGACGACCTGGACCTATACCGGAGTGGTAGCCGGTGCTTCTCTTCAATGCCACTCTAATCGAGCCGGCCGCTTGAGGAACTTTGGAAGTCGTCTCGGCATGCAATTCAAATGGACTAGGTTGATTAACGTTCTCAGCCGTGCTGTTCACGTCGCCGGCACGGAAGTCGCTAATACTCCACGGGATCACTCTAATTGAGCTAGATACTTAAGAAACCTTAGATTACTGCATAGCATACAACTTCAGTAGACTAGATCAATAGACGACCCTAACTATGCTATTCATGTCGCGGAAACGGCAGCGAGTGCTGTCTCTCACGGTCATCCTAATAAAATTAGCTACTTGAAGAATCTTAGAAGATCTCAGCAAGCGATTAGGCGGGCCGGGTTGATAGACAACCTTAACAGTATTGTTAACGCTGTTGACATGGCGGCTAATGCTACTTCTAAAGACCGCCTAGATTAAGTGTCGCACGTGTCTCACGCGATATCATACCCATGCACTGCACTATTCACTCATTAGGCATAGCTCCTCTCTCGTACAGTATATAGTCAGCCCAGAGCTCTATCGAGCTCCTTAGACCTTACAATACACTCATTCCACCTTGTTTGGATCTCGCTCCCTTGTCGAGTCGTTTGCCATATGTCCCCTCCTCAGCTCATGCAAGATTAAGTTGTGTAGGCAGGCTAGTTTGATAGACGATCTTAGCCGTGCTATTAACGCTGCTGAAATGGCAGTTACTCATGCTCTGCTAGCTCGGCGTGCGATTTAAGCGGTCTAGGCTGGTACCCGACCTCAACTGTGCTGTATATGTCGCTAATATAGCAGTCTCAACTGCGGCCTAGGGAAGCCCCTATCAAGCTAGTTACCTAAATAACCTTGGGATCTCTCTTAGTTAGTATTTTAGGCGGATCACGTTGATAGAGGACATCCATTGTGCTATTGATGTTGTAGACATAGTAATTAATGCTACTCCTTAAGACCATCTATAGTGCTTAATAGGACGTGGTACATTTCAATTCGCTTCTTTTACACCCTAACGTATCACTTTGTAGTACTTTTATACCGCCTAGAGAAAAGAAGTAGTTATTACTTAGCATAAAAGTAGCTGTTAAATTTACTACTTGTCACGGTTATGTTACAGCTATCCAACCCCTGAGTACCCTAAGGGCTTGGCACGGGGTATATAGGCTCCTCGGCGTCTGTACCTCTGCCTCCGACCCTAAGGTTTACTCTCTCTCGTTACCCCCCTATCCTGCATTCCCTCTCTGTGACCTGTGTTTCCTGCTCGATACCTCTTACACTACTATACTTTAAGTCTTTGCTAAAAGTTATAATATTATAGTTAGAGTATTGTTACAACAGTCTTGTTTAGCTAACAGGAACACTGCTAAGGCTGATACTACAGGAGAAGAACCAACTAACCTAGGTCGCATAACATAGTTAGATTAGGTGGTGTTCGAGGTGGCACTGAGTGCCCGCCTAGCCCGCTGCCTCGCTTGCCGGCCAAATGCCCGCCCCCGGCATCCGTGCATGTCCACGGCCTCTCTCTCTGCCAGCTGCCGGCACTGAGGGAAAGGCGGTGCTCTGTACGTATGGTATGGTGCCCAGCAGGAAGCAACGATTTAGTAAAGAAGGCCAAGGAAGCAGCGAGGAAAGCCACAGCAGAGGGCAGCGTGCCAACCAGACCCTTTTACTAAGCTAGGTTAACAGTAACTAGGACCACAGTAAGAAACTAGAGACAGAGAAAAGACTTACTAACAGAAGTAGGGAGATACTTGCGCAAGATGGACATAGCTCTACTAGGGAAACACACTAAGAAGCTCTATAACGCCCTAACCTAGCAAGAAGCAAAGATACTAGCACAATTACAAACTAGGATAACACAGCTAAACACATACCTAAACTAAATAGGAGCTGCAGACTTAAACATGTGCATATGTAGTTAGGCAGAAGAAACTATTTAGCACTTTCTCTTCTAATGCTAAAGATAAGACACACTTTAAATACAAATGCTTTAGCAAACAGAGACTAAAAGAGAAAACCTCCCCTTCTTTCTAGAGAGAAAGGCACTAGCAGACCTAGCAGAATAGTTGCTGGACATTAACACAGTAAAGATAACAGTTAGGTACGCAATAGCAACAGGCCGCCTAGAGTAAGAAAGGAGATAGGAACCTAGAACTATAGAGACAATAGTAGAAAAAAGACGCTTAATACTAACCCTATATAACAGTAGGCTTTACTTTACTTGCTAATAAAAGGACTTTAAACACTTAAAGAAGAGACTTTAAGAACACTTGCTATAAATTACAATTAGGGGGATATGTAACAACTACGCCAGATAGCAGAGCAGGAGGCATGTAAGGGCTACAAGGAGTTAAGCCATCACTAAGAAAGCGCTTAGGTAATAACGCACTAGTGCCCTCTAGGCTAGAGCCGGGCGTAATAAAGACATCATCATCATCATCATCATCATCATCATCATCATGCCAGCTGCCGGCTGAGCCCGCCGCGGATTGCCCATGTACCTGCTGTATTGAATCGAGAGGTTACGCCTGTCTGCTGCTACATAATTGGCCCTGCTCTTGTGGAGCTTCTCCTTCGCGATGCTGATGCTGTATTGCGCCCTGTATTATAGCTCCTTAATGGCCTAGCTGCTAAACGCCCACGCTGTGGGATATCTTGCGCGCGCTGCCCTCATGCTGCTGCAGCACGCATCCTTGATGGCGTCTGTATATAGGAGGGCGGGCCTGCCCTCGCCCTCGCCCTCATCCCGAGCCCGAGCCTGAGCTTCAGCGTGCGCTGCTTGCTGCTGTCTTGCTGTTGTATCCTCTCCTCATCGCTCATCGTACATACTCAGGGGCAGAGAAGGCGAGCATGGGTCCGCAGCGCAGAAGTCAATATCGCGAACAACGCTGAGCTACGCGCCAATGCGCACCATATCCTAGCTACAATCCGTGAGCAGCGGCCAGAGAATACGCACCAGGTCTATAGCCCAAAGCAGAGGAATTTAAGGTAGTATACAGCCTACCTGCTGCTCTTGAATGAGCTGAGAAGGGGTCATAGGGTAAACGAGTTGACAAGGTATTGAGATCTAAACAAGGTGAATTGTACCAGTGTATTGTAAGGTCTAAGAAGCGAGAGAGAGCTCTGGGCTGACTATATACTGTATGAGAAAGGAGCTAGTCCCTAATGGGTGAATAGTGCAGTACATGGGTATGGTATCGTGTGGACCACGTGCGACAGCTGCTGCTAGAGCTAGAACGTGTACGCGACTTACGTGCTAACCACGCGTATCTAGGCGTTCTGCAAGAGGAAGCAGTACCACAAAAGCAGCACAGTTACAGAGGACGAGCTGCTGCTCTTCCTAGTTAAGAAGGTTGCAAACAGGCCCTTAAGGACTAGGTCTCGCAAGGTAGGGAGCGACGTCCCCTAAGACTAGACGCGTCTTGCCTGGCGCTCAGTTCGCGCCTACATCACAGCCATCACCGACCTCTGGCGAGAGCAGAAGGCGCTGGGCATGAACAGCAACCTGTCGCCGTGGGAGGACAGCGTGAGGGAGTACCTCAGGTCTCTTCAGCGTAGGGATGCCCAGCGAGATCGAGAGCAGTACGCCGACAAGGGGAGAGACACGCTGCTTGACGGCTATTCTGAGGACGAGTTTGAGCGGCTCTGCAGCGAGCTGTGGATACATGGCGCCGACGCGACCTCATCCTCAACAGCAACAGAATGCCACTTCCGTACGCTAGTCGATCTCACGCTCAGCCACTACATGCTCACGCGCGGAGGCGACCACCGCTCTGCGGAGATATCTGACCTGTTTACCTTTGGTTTAAGGTCGAGGACCCTACGCGCGCAAGCAAGCAGAACCAGCACGGTCGGCTAGAGACGATTGGCGCGCTACGGCATCGGAAGCCGCTTCTCTGCATGCTCAGCAGCCTGGCCTTCTAAATGCTCTATCGCTGGGACCTGGGGGAAGAACCCTTCCGTGACTTCAGCCAGCGCTCGGCCTGGTACCACATACGGCTGATCAAAGCCAGCACGGGCGATCGTACGGCAGCCTTCTCCTACAACTCCCAGCGCGACTGGGTCGCGAAGGCGTATAGCTACGCTGGGATCTCGTCACAGAAGAAGACCCACCTCCCACGCAGTGGGGCTGCCAAGCTAGCAGAGCTCAAGGAGATCAGTGAGGACCAGATTTGGCGCGCAGGAAGGTGGAACCAGGAGCAGATGGTCGGCTGCTACCTCAAATCGCTACCGCAGAAGTTCATGAGGACTATGGCTGGCCACCCGCCCCAGATGGGCTGCTTCGAGATCCCGCACGACGCCGTCGCCCCCCCAGACGAGCTCGTGTCTCTCATCTGGCCGGAGCTGGATGCGTGGAAGGACCCCTTTGGCCCACACGCTAGCCAGATCAACGACCTAGCCGCAGGAGGCCTCACAAACCTGCTGCTCTACCTCAGAGAAGTAATCCTCTAGGATTCAGTGACACTGCGCCGGCGATTCCCTAGCCACCCTGTGTGGAACCACTCCGTGTTCTAGCACAAGGCGTACGCAGCATTTGCTCAGGAAACCGACGAGTCCTTTGACGCAGAGGCGGCTCCTAGTCGGCTGTCAGTCCTGTACCAGGCGATATCCCTGCTCGCCGACCAGTTACAAGCGCTAGATGCCCGGAACGAGCGGAGCGAGCAGCGGGTGAAGGAGCTCAAGGGGTCTATCGATCGCCTCCTTGAGCTGTCGAGCTTCTTGCATGAGTTGAGGAGGGGTCATATGGGAAGCGAGTCGACAAGGTAGTGAGATCCAAACAAGGTGGATTGAACGAGTGTATTGTAAGGTCTGAGGAGCTCGATAGAGCTCTGGGCTGACTATATTTATCTCAGCTAGCTCAGACGTGAGGAGAGAACCAAGGACGCACAAACCATGCATATTGCTACTCCAAATAGAGTATGGCCTGGGGGTTAGCGGTTTCTGACCCCTGTCAGTAGCGTTTCTCTCCTCAGCCGTCTAAGGGACTTTTGTGATTTTTTCTATAAATAGGCCTATTTTAAGAGCATCACAATAGAATTAGATTTACAATATCTCTACTACTATATGTCTAAATAGGCTTAGAATTTAATAGAATATAGAGACAAGCTGTAGCTATAAAATAGTATATTTTTTACTAAATTCTAACTATTATTAGCAGAGAAAAATCTAAACGCGCGCAGAACTTTAACCTATCTATACCCTAATTTTAGATTTATAGTATCGCCCTCCTGACTAGAACTTAACAACCAGTAGACCAAATTCCCTAGGATTTTGCAGGATCCTTGACAGAGCTAGTCTGGGACAGCTCCTAGATCCTCAGAGTCCTTAGACAACAGCTGGTTGAGCTGCAGACATGAGGGCGATCGCGACGTCCCTAGACTACCATCCACTGGACTACAGCTTAACAACTAGTAGACTAAATCTCCTAGAATTTTGCAGGCTCCTAGATCCTCAGAGTCCTCAGAGTCCTTAGAGTCCTCAGACAACAGCTAGTTGAGCTGCAGACATGAGAGCGATCGCGATGTCCCTAGCCTACTATCCAGCTTGACAACCAGCGGCCTAGATCTCCTAAAATTTTGCAGGCTCCCTGATAGAGCTAGTCCGAGACAGCTCCTAGATCCTCAGAGTCCTTAGAGTCCTCAGACAACAGCTAGTTGAGCTGCAGACATGAGAGCGATCGCGATGTCCCTAGCCTATATCTAGCTTGACAACCAGCGGCCTAGATCTCCTAAAATTTTGCAGGCTCTCTAATAGAGCCTGTCTTAGACAGGTCTTAAATTCTAAAGATAATATATTATATAGTTAGGGAGTTACATTAAGGTGCAGTTATAGGGTTATTAAAATGTCCTGTGTAGGACTTAATAGCGCAATACTCTGCTAAATCTTGTTAGAATTAGGTTACAAAAATGTTAGGGTATAGCTAGAGACTGTCTCTATTACCTATTAAAATCTAACCTAGTTTAGACAAAAAGTGGTAGAGCTACAGTAATTCTTAGTTAAGCTAGTGCATAGTAGAGGAGGTTTAGAACTATAATATCACCTAAAAAATCACAAAAGTCCCTTAGACAGCTGGGGAGAGAAAGCCTTTCTTACACCCTTATTAGCTAGAGAGATGGGGCTTGCGCCACTAAGGCTACTAGCAGGGGCTTGCCCCTGTCGAGGCTCTCTCCCCATCCCGTCTGAGCTTGCTGAGATAAGACTATATACTGTACGAGAGAGGAGCTATGCCTAATGAGTGAATAGTGCAGTACATGGGTATGATATCGCGTGAGACACGTGCGACAGAGCTCGCAGTCTCAGTACCTGCAGATGCTCACCTCTGGCAGCCTCGTGTTCCGCCTAGAAGCTTCCCAGCAGCCAGGCAGTCTGCCAGTACCGCCTCCTAGGCTCAGGCCAGCAGCAGCTGCAGCGCTGCTATCAGCGCTGCTGTCGTCGCCGCCGCCGTCGCTGCTAGCAGACCTAACTTCGAGCAGGTATACCTCTGCTCAGATCAGCATCGCGCCTACACCGTCTGCGCGCTCTGTCGCACGTGTCTCACGCGATACTTATCTCAGCTAGCTCAGACGTGAGGAGAGAACTGAGGACGCACAAACCACCATGCATATTGCTACTCCAAATAGAGTATGGCCTGGGGGTTAGCGGTTTCTGACCCCTGTTGGTAGCGTTTCTCTCCTCAGCCGTCTGAGGGACTTTTGTGATTTTTTCTATGAATAGGCCTATTTCAAAAGCATCACAATAGAATTAGATTTACAATATCTCTACTACTATATGTCTGAATAAGCTTAGAATTTAATACAATGTAGAGACAAGCTGTAGCTATAAAATAGTATATTTTTTACTATATTCTAACTATTATTAGTAGAGAAAAATCTAAACGCGCGCAGAACTTTGACCTATCCATACCCTGATTTCAGATTAATAGTATCGCCCTCCTGACTAGAACTTGACAACTGGTAGACTAAATTCCCTAGGATTTTGCAGGATCCCTGACAGAGCTAGTCTGAGACAGCTCCTAGATCCTCAGAGTCCTCAGAGTCCTCAGACAACAGCTAGTTGAGCTGCAGACATGAGAGCGATCGCGATGTCCCTAACCTACTATCCAGCTTGACAACCAGCGGCCTAGATCTCCTAAAACTTTGCAGGCTCCCTAATAGAGCTAGTATAAGACGGCTCCTAGATCCCTAGAGTCCTCAGACAACAGCTAGTTGAGCTGCAGACATGAGAGCGATCGCGATGTCCCTAGCCTACTATCCAGCTTGACAACCAGCGGCCTAGATCTCCTAAAATTTTGCAGGCTCTCTAATAGAGCCTGTCTTAGACAGGTCTTAAATTCTAAAGATAATATATTGTGTAGTTAGAGAGTCGCATTAAGGTGTAGTTATAGGGTTATCAAAATGTCCTGCGCAGAACTTAATAGCGCAATACTCTGCTAAATCTTGTTAGAATTAGGTTACAAAAATGTTAGGATATAGCTAGAGACTGTCTCTATTACCTATTAAAATCTAACCTGGTTTAGACAAAAAGTGGTAGAGTTACAGTAATTCTTAGTTAAGCTAGTGCATAGTGGAGGAGGTTTAGAACCATGATATCACCTAAAAAATCACAAAAGTCCCTTAGACAGCTGGGGAGAGAAAGCCTTTCTTACACCCTCATTAGCTAGAGAGATGGGGCTTGCGCCACTGAGGCTACTAGCAGGGGCTTGCCCCTGTCGAGGCTCTCTCCCCATCTCGTCTGAGCTTGCTGAGATAACGCGATACCATACCCATGTACTGCACTATTCACTCATTAGGACTAGCTCCTTTCTCGTACAGTATATAGTCAGCCCAGAGCTCTCTCTCGCTTCTTAGACCTTACAATACACTGGTACAATTCACCTTGTTTGGATCTCAATACCTTGTCGACTCGCTTACCCTATGATCCCTTCTCAGCTCATGCGAGACCTGTGCCTGCGCCTGCACCAAAGCATCGCATGTGCCGTGCTGTAAGGACTGTAGAGGACCTCTGGCGCGAATGGACAGTAGGACTGCAAGGCCAACCTTCAATCGCTGAGCTAGACATATGCTGGGGGAACAGATAGAGGGCAGGTCTTCAGAGCGAGCTAACGTAGTACTCTCTGCGGCTTGAGGTCATCAAGGAGGTCAGGCGCATAGCCCAGACGCGGAGGACCAGCGAGGAGGCGGCCATGTGGCAGGTGAGCCAGCGGCAGCAGCAGCAGAGGTGCTCGCTAGACCAGCTGTGCAAGTAGCTTAGAGCTGCTCGGAAGGGGGGGAAATAATATTAGTATATATAGTTATATAGTTATATTTTAGTGTTTATTGTTATAATATTCCTAGGTGTAACGGCGCAGGCAAGACAATGGATCCGAATGCGGTAGGAATCCACTCAGAGGCATATGGGAGTGCGTAGGGACTCAATAACCTGGGAATATCATTGACACCTATAGGCCTCGTACGAAAGGATATCAGAAAACTATCGAGCTAGCTACGGGAGAGAGGCGCGACTAAATACTTGGGGGAATAGAGGTAACAGCAGGGGGCAGGGCAGGGTCGGAGCCAGGTCAAGTCAGGGTCGGGGCCGATACGGGGAACCTTCGGATTGGTTCCGGGCAACCCGAGATGGAACGATTCCTGAGAATCGTTACACTAGGCGCTAGCAAGAGGAAAGCAGAAATAGTGTAAAATTTAGTAAAAAAAACTATGTGCTTACTATTAAACTAGGTTTTATACCTAACATCTAGCTAGCTTAGGGGTAGTGTTGTTAACTAGATAGTTAGCGCTACTTACAACATGTCACAGTTATGTTACAGCTATCCAACCCCTGAGTACCCTAGGCTTGGCACGGGCTATATAGACTCCTCGGCCTCCGTACCCCTGCCTCCGACTCTAAGGTTTACTCTCGTTACCCCCCTATCCTGCATTCCCTCTCTGTGACCTGTGTTTCCTGTTCGATACCTCTCACACAACATAAGTAATGCGTACTATAGTTTGCTGCACATTGCTATAATATACTATAGTTTATTGCAGTTTGCTATAATATGCTGCAGTTTGCTACAATTAGCTACAAGTTGCTTGTAACGATGCACTCGATGTAAAGATGGGATAGTAGATAGCACGGATAGCACTGAGAGCAAGGTTTCGGAGAAAGATAGGAGTGTTAGGTAAGAGAGACGAATCGCTGCCAAGCCTCGCTTGTCAGGATTCATGCTTATATACGAAGCACAGGTCATGTGACTTCCAAACAGGTCGGGTGAGGCTATACTGGCCCGTTCTGGGACATCTGGCCTTACACTAGTTATGACGCTGACCACCCAGACAATGACAGGGACGAAGAGGATGATTACGATGAGTGGAAAGCAGAAGGATAAGCTAATCAGTTAAATTCATGGTCTGCAAGACAATCTACAATAGAAAGAAGCTAATGTCACTGAACTCGGGAATAAGGTGGAGACTTTTAAGTTGGAAGGCCGTAAGGTTAAAAGTTTGTATGAAAATAAAAGAGCCCAATCTACCGTTACACCAGTCAGCTGCAGAAGTTACAGGCGAATGCATCAAGTACCAAGTCCGTGAAGCACACAGTTTTCGCATCTTTGCCAGTATCATCCATAGCTTGATTAGCGAGTACACCTACCCAGGCTTCTCCACTGTCCTCTTCGAAAGCCCATAGAATTTCCCTAATAATTCTCCACTCTCCGTCTCGCAGCATCGAGACTACCAACCTTGACCCCAAACTCCCGTCTGGGTCCTGCTTCCTGTACATCTGCAGCGTAACCTCCTTTATATTGTCATTAGGCAACGCATGCAGACTCCAATCTGACCAACGTTCGCAAGAAACGACGCTAGCGTTCATTCTAGAGTGCTCGTACTCCAGAGTTGCGGTGACCCATCTTCGCCCAGCGTCAGCCGGATTCGTCCCATGTAGAGGAGGTAGTACAAAGAGAAGTCCTCCTTGCTGGGTGTTTGTGTCGAAGTCGGCCGAGACCGTGACGCAAATCCTTCGAAATGATCTAATGGGGATAGTGATACAAGCGAATGGAGCTGAGAAATGCTGCTCTGGATTTGGACTTGGTACGGACCAGATGTCTGTACCTGCTATAGCAGGAAGAGTGAGAGTGGAAGGAAGCGAGGTTGGTTGGAGTGACTGGGTTGACAGGAGGCGATGAGGTGCCATTGGAGTCCGGAAGGATTCGGGTGTTCGTTTAGCGGAGTTTGAAAAGGCCAAAAGCAGAATTGAATATATTCTTGATGCCGAAGAAGGGTTTTGAGCTCATTTCTAATACACTGAAAGAGCTAAAATTAACTAAAAAACAGTTACCCTTGTATTTTTAGTGGAAGGATTTACCAGGGCTGATTGCGCCTGGGGTTCTGCATGTTCGTCGCGAACCCTGGACGGGCTGACCCTCCGTATCCACAACACAACGTCACGCCGGAAATTTAATCTTTATGCGGGGAAGATGCATATTCACGCACCTATACGATGCGATTCAGGAAGTCCGAGACATTGAAGTAATCAAAACTCGGCACCCGATATCAGTTGTTCAAAATGGTAATTATTTTTCGATAACAATCTTCACTCCACCACATGACCAACTCCCGAGTAGGACAAAATGTTTTCAATCTATATACTTGCCATTGTTACTTTATCGCATCTACTATTCAGGTGGATAATATATCCTGTGTGGTTTTCTGCTTTAGGAAAAATACCAAACGCACATTGGTCGGCGCCTTTCAGCTCTTTCTGGATACAATGGAGACGCTATCTTGGCAAGGAAGTCGAGACTGTTTGCGAAGCCATCCAAAGAAAGGGCAATATTGTCCGTTTAGGACCTAGTGAGCTCCTCGTCAATGATTATGATGGAGGTGTTCGTAAAATATATGGTGGTGGATTCGAGAAGCCTGATTGGTATACCTTTTATGAAAATCATGGGTAAGTCCTCTGGTATTAGCGTTACGTTTTGAATGCTCATTCGTCTAGGAAGCGAAACATTTTCACATCGTTAGGCAAAGACCATGTCCCTCGCCGTCGTCGAATCACGAATGTGTACAGCAAAACGTTCATTCAGGATTCTCCTCAAGTTCGAGAAATTCTTTCTACATTAGTTTTCCAGAGATATCTACCCGTTCTCCAAAATGCTTCATATAAACAAATACCATTTGGTATTCTTGGACTCAATCTGGCGTACGGGATAGATGCGGTCGGCGCGTTCATGGTTGGGCTTCCCCGCGCGACCCAATTCATCCATGACGTCGAAGCTAGAAATATATGGCTGGATGCTTACCTTAAAAGCCACCCCAGCGACAATATGTTTTGGTTACTGGAAGCTCCTAAATTAACACGTTTTCTTGCGAAGATTGGTCTGGACCCGATTCCGAAATCTGTGGAACAAGCTCACCATAAACTGGAGGAGTGGGCTTTGCGACTTACGGATGAGACAGAGGAAGCTTGGAACGAGGCGAATCTGAAGCCTCATTCTGAAAGAGATACACCTATTGTTTATAACCAACTAAGGCTTGCCATCTCTCAAGAGTTGCGAAACAGTGGCTTCAAGGAAGATGAAGCTTCATTGTATGAAGCACAACGACTGGAACTTGCTAGTGAGATTCTGGATCAACTAGTCGCGACTCGAGATGTTTTCGGTATGTTGTTTGATCTCGAGCTGTATGGTGAAGATACTCACGCAAGAACCAGGTATCACATTCACGTATATTCTCTGGGAAATTTCCAAGCATCCAGAATGGCAAGAAAAACTCCAAGCTGAGCTACGCTCGGTCCCCAACCCTCTTTATCTTTCAACACGATTTGATGACACAAAGATGATGACTCCAAAGCAGTTGGAAGCATTATCAATCTTGCGGGTAATGATTAAAGAGTCTATGCGTCTCCGAGGCACGCTACCAGTCCCGAATCCAAGGTTAACGCCATATGACCGACCCACAACGATCGGGCCATATGAGAACATACCAGGTGGCGTAAGGACAAATTCGTTCGCGTGGTGTCTGCATCGTGACGCATCCGTCTACGAGGATCCGGATGTCTGGCGGCCAGAACGTTGGATCCGCTATTCAGACGAGAGGGAGGAAATGGATAAGCAGTTCTGGGCATTTGGAAGCGGAAGCCGATTGTGCCTAGGTATGAGCTTTGCAATGGAAAGTAAGTGATCAAGTACGTCCATTCTAGAATTAAACTGATATGTTTCCATTGCAGTGATCAGATATGCCGTTGCCGGCATTTACACCAATTTCAGTACTTCGGTTGTAGACGATAGTACCTTCTGTACTAATGGACATTTTGTCACTGGGCTACCTGGGGAGGATCTGGTTCTCCAGTTCACGCCACTAGATCCAGTGTCGGCTAGCACATGAAGATCGTTAGTACAGTGATGTGCAGGGCACATAGTATTGCTTACAAAAGCTTGCCAGATGTATTTTTTGAATTCATAGGTATTGTAGCTTGACCAAAAAAGCCCTTCAAGTTTGCGCGAGGTCTACTAAGTGAGACTCAAACTTTTTTCTTCGCTACAATGAAAAGATGTGGCTCAGGGTCGCTGTCAGCCTCTTCAGGCGGTGCATGCATTTCCGTCATTGTTTTCACGATCTCGAATCCTTGCTTCTCTAGCAGGGCCGCCCAGCCCTTTCGTGTGAACAATGTGATGAAAGTCTGCGCGCCCATGAACCTGATTCCGATGTCTCTCGCACACAGACCGTCCGCGTCGTAGCCGTTACCCTTCTCATCAGGGGAACAATCCTCAGCTGCCATTGTGCAGATACACAATAGGCCACCAGCCGGTAACCACGAGCTCCATTTCTCCGCCATGGATTCAATCCCTTCTCTATCCAGCAAGAAGAGCGAGAGGATGTTGAAAATGGCATCGAGACGAATTCCCTCAGGCGGTACGTAGTTGCGCATGTCTGCGACGTCGAAGGTACCACTTGGCACTGCCTTGCGACTCAATTCAACCATGGCTGGGGAGATGTCGATGCCAAGGATGCGATGTCCAGCTGCAGCCAGACTACTAGCTACCGGCTTGCCCGTACCACAGCCGACGTCTAGGACTAGGGCCTGTGGGGGCATGTCCGATAGAACAGTCTGGATGAAGCTGATGAGCCCGGCATCGTGGGCGAAAGCATCCTCATACTTGCTGCCGAGCGAGGAGTAGAACTTGGCGTTGAGCATCGCGGTTTGATTGGTTGCGGGCCGGTGTTGGAGAATAGCTCTTAGCCAGGCGGCCGTGGAGGCCTTGCGATGTTGACTTTGGGAAGATCGCTTATTGCGCAACAGTGCGTGTGGAGCGTCGTGGAGGCTGTTGTAAGGCTTAAGCCATCCGAAGCATGCCATTCGGGGCGGGGTTACTTACCGCCGTGCCGCAACTGTATGGTGGTACCTTTAGGCCGCGAATAGATTGGGTAGTCGATTGATTGCTGAACAACAGTCGTACGAGAGGCTATCGGCCAATAGAAAGGCCTGAGATTGACAGATCTTCTCTCATTCATTTATTCATAGGGGCCTCCTGTAACAATAAGGCGGTGTTTTCCCCCAGGATTCGGCCGACATCAGGGGCGTTAACAATTCCCTGCAGCAACCCTCGAGTATTTTCCCAAGTAGTATGTGACTGCAGGTGCTGGTTGCGTTCCTCGTGAAATGATGTGACAAACCTGCAGCTGACGGCGTCAGGAACGGGGATTCTATGCGGCCCGAACCTAGCGTGCGATGGCGTTCCGCGATACGTAGTATCATACGACGCGTTTGGTCCTCGGTACTATGCTATGCAGACAAACGAGCTGGGGCAAAGTACGCACCTGGGAGGCTAAATAATTTACGTAAGTAGGCAGGTAAGGTACGAGCAGCCCTACGCGTTGGCACTAAGCCCGCTCTAGTACTCCTACAGCGCTATGAAGCCCGGCCACAACGATACAAGATGGCCTGCTTTCTAGCCGTGTACCAATGCTTGGCCTCTTAGACTGCCTGTACTTATCTCTAGTGCTTCTTTCCACTCCTGCCACTGTCTCCTCATTGTCTCAATGACTACGATTGTGGCAAAGCATGGGGTATATGCCCAATCCGAACCTTTTTTATGCGAAAACGACGATCCATTACTAACCAAAACACCACTGGCCCACAAAAACCCAAGTGTTCCCAATGGCCACTCACAAAGGGGCCAGAACTTCCCTTCCAACGTAACGGCCAACAACGAATGGGCTCCCTTGAGATCCGTGATCATTGGAAGAGCGGACAATTCGTGTTTTCCTTATGAGGCTCCTCATATGATTGAGGCAACCATGCCGCCCCGGTTTCATGAGGCTTTCAAGCCTGCGAACCCCTTCCCCCCCGAAATTGTTCGTGGTGCTGAGGAAGAGCTTGGAAACTTTGCCTTATTGCTACAAAGCCAGGGCGTCAACGTCTTCCGCCCAGCAAAAGTGGACTGGCTTCAAACAGGTGGATACACTGGGGCAATGCCTCGTGATGGACTGCTTGTTGTTGGCAATACTATCATCGAGTCCTGCTTTGCGTGGAAGTGTCGTGTTGATGAAGTGGCTAACTCGCTTGGGAACCTTCTCTCGAAGCTGGGGGCTAACCCTTCTGTAAAAGTCGTCCGCGCTCCACGACCACCTTCGCCAGATACACTCTATAATGGCATACTCGAAGACCCTGGAAGTCATGAATGGGCCATCAACAACAGTCGCCCGGCCTTTGATGCTGCCGACTTCATGCGCTTCGGCTCCACCATCATTGGTCAGCTGAGCAACGTCACCAACATGAAGGGAGTCGAATACATACAACTCCATGTCCCATCCGGCTATAAAATTGAGCTCCTAGATGTCAACGACCCGCATGCGATGCATATCGATGCGACGTTATTGCCATTACGGCAAGGCCTGATGGTCTATAATCCGCTTCGAGTCACTGAGGAGTCATTGCGTCGCCATGCGGCCTTCAAGGATTGGGAACTAGTCTCGTATCCTTTCGTCAAATCGGTGCAAGCAGTAGAAGAAGCAACCGGTGGGGTGCCTCGGTTCATGACAAGCGCGTGGCTTGTGATGAACGTGCTGGTCCTAGGACACGACAAGATTGTGGTCGAGGAGCAGGATCATGAATTCGTAAAATGGTTAGAGGGAAGAGGGATGGAGGTTTTGAAAGCTCCATTCCGCAATGTGCATGCTATTGGTGGTAGTTTCCATTGTGCTAGCGTTGACTTGGTACGATCATAGTACGGATCCCACTCGGTATACTCCAGTCAATAAAAGTTTTCGGTTCTGCTTGTGGTACTTTTTCCAATTTCACATGGAGCAGAGAATATGGGTTTTTGTCTTGAAAGTTCTCGTCGCCCCATAAAAATTGATTCTATTTGGGGTATGAGGTTGCGGGAGCCTACTTCGGGCGATAATGATATTGAAATTAACCTTTCAGATCCGTTCTTTGCTCACTTTTTACCGTAGTTGTCTTTGTCGTTCGAATTTCCATCTTTCCACCATCCCTTTCGACATCAAAGGTAGAATTTCCTTTCCGCATGCTCTCTAATTCAATCCCTCCCCTCTCCTCCCTACCTTTACTAGCAGTAACGCTGCTAGTGTAGCTTTCCCCTGCAGGAGTCTTCCGCCACCCATACAGGGCTCTCTTTGAAGATCCCCCGCCACGCCCGCTCGAGGAGCTATGGTTTCCGTAGGCGGTAGCAACTTGTGCCGTGTTTAGATCCCATCGCAAGCTGAACCCGATATCGTTAGTTATTACCCCAATAGATAATGCATCAATGACTGGTTTTGTAAAAGGGATTGAGCTAAAAATTATGGCGATGCTGGAGTGGATCACAGTTACTAGGATCAGTTTGAAGGATGCCGTCATGACGTTTGAAGTTTTGAAGGAGTAAAGGTGTTTTAGGTAGGTGAGGCGAAGGATTATAAGGGGAAGAGTCCTAAATGCGGAATAGGTTTAGTGCAGGTGTAGAATTCTTAGATTCTGGATTGCTTACAGTATGTTTGGGCAAAACGAGAGCCTCACGAAGAGTTTGGTCCTTTTGTTGGTCTGAATGTGATGGAGGAGATAGATTGGTAAGAACGCAACTACCGTTTGCGTTATAATATCGACAACCCCATGGACTATCCAAAAGGACGTCTTAGTATGTTAGTACGAGCAAAGTTATGAGGGTCTTTGCTTCATACCTCGTTTATACACTTGCCTTCTCCCTGTCGCATATCCCAGGTGTCCGGAAGCGAGCATTGGAAGGACAACACGAAGATGGAGGTGAGCATCCATGACGATGAAAATCCGATAACAATATTGGTAACCAATTTGCTCAGAGGATTAAGGGCGAGCGACAGAAAGAAGTGTAGGGTTCCGAGCTTGACGAAAAAGGTGGCCAGAACGTAAAAGAGCGACGATAGATACGTAGCCTAGCAAGGGCACACAGTATTAGATTCACGTAGCCAAAGAGGTGACAAGGGCTATGGCTCTTACCAGATAGAAATTCCTGGTTTCTGAGTCGGAGGGCGTGCCCGCAGTCCGCCCAAGGCCATTTGATACTTGGGTAGCAGTCGCCGCACACAGCGCGATGGCCATCAACTGGAAGGAGGTCGTTAGTTCGGCGATCCCGCTCATCCAAATACTACACGTACAAGGGCGAATGCGAAGAACAAGTCGTTCAGGTCAAGGCGCTTGAATGCTCTCCATTTGATGTAGAATTTGACCAAGCAGGCCAGGAGAGCGATGATGAGCAGGACCCAGCTGGCCAGATTGACCAGCGGCCCACGATCTTGTGCAAGATTGGTACCCACGCTCATGCCGTACGTCTTTGCGGCGCCTGTCGGATTTGGGGGGGTTCTCGAGACGATGGCCGTCTGCTGTCAAGCTTGGAGCGCCTGTTTAAATGAAGGGGGGAGGCTCATGGTGAAAGGGCATCGCCGACAGAGGTACGCTGTAGCCGGAGTTCCAGGTGGGTGGTTCGGGTGAAAGACGTGTGAGAGAATGGAGTTGGACAGATGGATGCTAGTATTTCAAAAGATGCCGGTATGTGGCCCGCGGCGGGAAAGGATATGAATCCCTCACGCGGCCCGGCCCGGCGGCAACCAATCCAGGCACGGCGGCACTTCAACCCGCAGACCGTTGCATGAACGAGGGTACGCGTGCACGGCCTAACTTTCAAACCTAGTGGATCCTACGGTGTGGTTCGATGGCTGCAGAGCCATGTGTGTGGGTGGGCACCCTCCCGTTTCGAAAGGGTCCTCTTTCGGCTCGCGCCTGGGCATCTTCTCTTCCCTCGCCTCTGGCATATCTACCACTGCGTCTACCACGCTCTCTACCACTCTACTTCGGTAGCTGTGTAACCGTTGCATCGCGGCGATCTAGGAGCGGCCTCCCTCACCTCGTTTTTTCACTGTGCAAACAACTTCACTCTTTCCTTTGGTAATTACTGGCATCACTACTATGAGCACCTACGAGATGGATGACAAGAATGGCCATGTCTCTCATTCCCGCTCAGGCGCTGTCAATGAAGAACTGGGTCCAGAAAGCAATGCGACCTCTGACGAGGCCGTGTTGGCGAGGTTTGGCAAGCGTCAACAGCTGCGGGTATGTATTTGCACACCTCTGATCAACAATCTCCGCACATCGAATCTCCGCTAACATTATGTGATGCCAGAGAGGATTCAGGGCGATGTCAGCCGTTGGGTTAACATGCGGCATTATGTTGACATGGGAGGTCCTCATCATGTCCGACCCCTCCTCCCCACCGTTCGCAGCTCAGTGATGCGTACTGACTTTCGCTGGGCAGGACGCTTCAATTTGGTCTGGAGAACGGCGGACCAGCCGGCTTGGTCTATGGCTACATCATCGCTTGGATCGGCGCTGGCCTACAGGCGCTTGTCATGGCCGAAATGGCCTCCATGATTCCAATTGCTGGCGGTCCGTTCAATTGGGTTGCTGTACTTGCTCCTGATTACTGCCGCAAGTTTCTCTCTTATCTCACGGGCTGGCTCAGCGTGCTGGCCTGGCAATCTATCGTTGCAAATACTTGCTATATTTGTGGCACGCTGATCCAAGGTTTGTTGGTCCTCAACTACCCCAGCTACCATTTCCAGCGATGGCACGGCACTTTGCTTTTTATGGCCGTCTTGACGTTTGGACTCATTGTCAATACTTGGCTGGGTCGACTGCTGCCTCGAATTGAAAGTCTAACGCTGCTGCTGTATGTCATGGGCTTTGTCGCTGTCTTGGTAACGCTAGTCTACCTGGCACCGCATAAAAGCGCAGCCGAGGTTTTCACCACATTCCAAAACTTAGGGGGATGGAACTCTATGGGCCTCTCCTTCTTCGTTGGTTTTATTACAACCATGGGTTCTTTTCTCGGTAAGATTTCCTCTGATCTGTACGTTTAAATCAACAGGAATCTAACTGCGCGTAGGTATTGATGGCGCAGATCATATTGCCGAAGAGTGTCAGGATGCTCAAAGGGTTGTCCCAAGAGCGATGCTGTCGTCTATTGGCATCAATGGTGCCATGGGCTTCGGAATCTTGCTCGCAGTTTTGTTCTGCATGGGCGACCCCGAAGAAGCTGTTGTGTCTCCGACAGGATTTCCGTTCATTGATATTTTTGTTTATGGCACTGGAAGCATCTCCGGTGGAACAGGTTTGGTGAGTTTGGAAAATACACCAACTAATGACGTGATCAGAGTAGCTGACTTTGTCCAACAGACCGCTATTGTGCTCTCTATCAATATCTTCTCGGTTACGGCCGTTCTTGCAACCGCGTCCCGAATGCTCTGGGCCTTTTCCCGAGAAAATGGCATCCCATTCTCGAATATAATCGCTCGGGTCGACACCCGAACCCGCCTGCCACTCTACGCAATCGGCGTCACTTGCGTTGTCAACGTATGTCTCTCTTTAATCAACATCGGCTCCACCCAGGCGTTTCAGGCCTTTATATCACTTCTCATCGCCAGTTACTATTCGGCTTTCCTCATCGCCGCCGGAGTCATGCTTCGAAAGCGATTGACTGGCGAGGATAAGACTCTTCCATGGGGTCCATTTCGTTTAGGAAAGGCGGGTATTCCAATCACAGTGTTAGCTATGCTGTATACTATCATTGGGACCTTCTTTTCATTCTGGCCATTCACGCCGGATGTAGATGCGCAGATCATGAACTATAGCAGCCTACTATATGGCGCGGCCATGATTTTCAGTGTGGCATTCTATTTTCTGCGCGCGAGGAAAACGTACACGGGTCCTGTGTATGAGCTGAATGATTAGACCAGATAAATGGTATTGGTATCAAGGAGTATGTCATGTACTTAACACCGTCTTCTACGTTTTAGTGTTCGATATACCATTCGTCACGGCCTCATTGGATTCTACCATGCTAAAGGTCTTGTATTACGGCTCATAATCGATAATCACTTATATTTTTTAATATTTTCTCCATTACAGGCCTAATTTCTTAATGTTTTACCTAATATATCCCAACGCTAATCGCGTGTTAGCTGAGACAGTATAGTATTCCCACCCACAATCACGTAGCTAGCAAGCGAGCTGCGCAGGCAAGCAAGCTACGTACTCGTCCGGAAAAGTCGTTGCTTTGTTATTCGCCCGAGAAGAGGTGCTAGCTAGCTGCCGGCTTTCTTCCTAGTCGGGCAGACAATTCGCCAAGATCACACCACTCGATTATTCTCGCTTACCACCCGACAGTCACGAACCCTGTTCAATGGCTACGCACGGTCCCGAGCTGCTCGGTCTGCCAGACACTCCCGACACTCTCCCGGCAGTTTCCACCATTTTCGCCAGTTTCGCCCTGCCCGCTAAATTCGCTCTACCCGCTATCTACGTCTGAGGGAATCTAGTAGGCAGAGTAAATGTAAGTCAAAGTAGCAGCAAACTGTCGGCAGACGTTCGGGTATATTCTCGATATGCAACCCCCCTCCCATGAATAGACCGGTAGCGTCACACGGGCTGATGGCACGTGCGTAGAATTAGCGTGAAGATTCTGGAACAAATGCATCCGTTTATATAAGGTTGCCCATACAAATGCAGGTAAATTTTCTGCCACAGTCATTAGCCACCCAGCCAAAATAGCCAAAGCACCTCATCGTCGATTATCATACAAGGAAAGCGTCAAAATCCACACAATGGCAGAGCTTGGAGCAATTAGCTATTTCTCAGAAACTAGGGATCCCTCAGAGTACTATTTCTGACTGTCTTCGATCGCCTATAACTCCTATAAAGCCAAAATGTCGGCCACCTATTCTTAATACACCCCTTCGACGTCTTCCTGTACGCCAATCTACGGAGAACGCCGAGCAGCGACGCAAAACTCGCGAGGAAATTGCTGCTGAGCTAGGAATCAATGTCTGCCGTTGAACACTGATTAAGGCCTTTGAGAAGGAGCTCTATCACCGCCACAAAGCTACTCAAAAGCCCTTCCTTACAGACGCTAGTAAGGCTCAGCGGCTTCACTGGGCGTAGATACACCTTGGCTGGACAGATGATACATGGGATAGGTGTGGCTGGGCTGATGAGATGTCAGCTCAAACAGGCCCAGGAGAAGTATATGTAACTCGGCTAGCTGAGGAAGCTATGCATCCAGATTGTATGGTGCCTAGGTTTAGGGGCTATAGTAGCTGTATGGTGTGGAGTATTATCTCAACTACGGCTAAAGGACCTCTTATTTTCTTTGAGAAGGAGTAGTGTACTAACGCCAAGGGTACTATTGACTCAGAGGTGTATATTCGGCATATCCTGCCTCATATTCAGGCCTACCAGCAAGCCTACAGCAGCCGTAATACGGGTAGAGATATTATCTATATGGAAGATAACAATTCCATACACGCTTCTAAGGGTACTACAACTGCCTTCAGAAGCCTGGGGATCAGCAAGGCACAGTGGCCATCAAACTCGCCAGATCTCAGTCCTATTGAGAACATTTGGCAGATGCTAAAGTGGAGGCTCTCAAGGCGATTTCCAAAGACTGATAATGAGGTGAAGGAATACCTACGGGAGGAGTGGGAAAATATTACAATTGACGACTATAAGAAGTATATTCTATGCATGCAAGAGCGTTGCTGGGCAGTTATCCAGGCGGGTGGCGGCCATACAAAGTGGTAAAAATGTACGTTAGATGCTGATTTGTATGTAATTTACATATAAAATTACATTGCTCATTCATGAGCTGAACGGGCCAATTGCCACTGGGCGCCTGCACGCGCTACCGGTCCATTCATGGGAGGGGGGTGTATTCCTAGTAAAAGGGCTATTTTTGTTAGGGTGTGAACTGCTCAGGGACTTGATTCTCGGCTCCCCAAGCGACCTCCTTTGTCAATACCAACCGTGTTAGCTGCAAAGCTCTTGGGCCGTGACATTAGGCAGCTCCTACCATCCAGCGCCGTTGACCGACAAGAAACCGCGAGAAGCCGACAATGGCGAATTCACCATGACCGATGAAACCCGAACCAGACCGCCCGTCCTTTAACGGCCCACGATTCCTCACCCTCGATGCTCTACCCACGTTGCGTTAGATACAAGATATCGCCAGCGAAACCGATAACCACGTCTCCACGAAATGATAACCTACGATATGGCTTATGCACTATAGAGCATACGGCTTCCGATTGACAACGCGCTAGACTTGATACAGCTTGTGACTGCAATAGCACTCAAGTAGGCGTCCGTGAAGACGCCAGGATAAGACATAGGGGCTTGGTCCCTCGCTGGCGTGATAGATGTACAGTCGCCTACCAAAAGTCATTAGCCACTCAACGATCCGAGCTCTGCAGGGGTATAGTCAGCCCATTTAGGAAAGAGGTTACTTGACTAATTGCTACCTAAATTAAAAGATTTTTAGTTCTATAAGAAGCCTATGTTAAGGCCTATCTTCTAGCGTTATAGTTAATTAATAGTGAGTTAACTTGCCTTTGTTTTAGATAACTTCCTTTATGCGCTTTAACTAGCTTAGGATACTCTTCCTATAATTAGCTAGTGTAATCTTTGCTTATTCCTCTTTAAAGATATCTACTATCTGCTTGTAAGTAGTAATATATTCTTATTGCTTTAAAATGCAGAGCTTTATAATCTACTAGAGGTTCTTAATTAGGTTTAAATTAGGACTTTATAGAAGCTAATCTATCTATATTATGCTATAGTTGTCTATATACTTTTAGGTAGCCTTTGCAGTATAAATAGGGGCTCCATCCTGCATCTATATGCTAATACCGCGTTTCTCTGTAAGCTGCTTATAGAATGGGATGCTAACGTTGTGCAGAATCTAGCAGTATTTACTAGCATTGTTCTGCTTACCTTTTTAGTTAATAAACAGCTCTAATTTAAAATTAAGAGAGATTACACTAAATACAGAGACTGTAGTCCTTCTAGACTTAAATGTAGGCTTTAAGTACTAACTCTTGTACGCTTTTCTATGCTGCTAACGTACATATGGAGGTCTAGTGTCTAAGCTAACTTTAAATGTTGCTTTATTATAATAGGCTACGTAAGCTATGTTACTGCTCTTGTTATATTAATAAATTTAAGCAAAGCAGAGTTGTTTTTCTTTGTGTACAGCTAAGAGCTAAGGCTTGTAACGTGGACAGAAGGCATAGTACTTATGTTTTGCAAGGTATCTTCTTATAGTACTAGCATAGATGCAGCAGTAGGTCTTAGACAGTGTCGCAATAGTTTAGAGCGTAGCAAAGGGATTATTTACTGCCTAGCAAATTAAATGCTTCTTAGCGCGTTTGTTAAGCTTTAGAGGCCAGCCTGTACGCAGGGCTTTTGTATAGATAGGCTAGGGCTGCTTGCGCAGCCAGCAGATGTTATATGTAACTGTTGACTTAGAAATGCTAAGATGACTTAAAATTTTGCTAGCGCTCACGCTGTAAAGGTGGAATTGCTATATTATATTAACAGTAGACTTAGATAGCTCTTTGCGCAAGGTTTTATTTGCTTTTGTAACTATTAAAAAAGGTGGTAATTTAATTAAGTTATAATTAATTAAAATTAAAGCATTGTGGGGTAGCCTAGGCCTCTTGCTAAAGTGGCCAATCACTTTTGGTAGGCGACTGTACACGTTGCATATGGCTAAGGTGTGGCCTTTCATACTAGGATAATTTTGAGGACACAACAACACGAGTAGGGTCTTACGAATCATACCCGTGACTAGGGGTCACACCCTAATAACTCTTTAAACCCAAGGTCCCACAAGGGAAGACCCCCTCCTCTTCTTTTTATGTGCTGTCGAAGCTTTTATCACTTATCCATGCCAGAGTTCCACAAATAGCTATTATGTTTCTATTTTGGTGTGGGCTACTTTTGTTCGCAATGGTCCTGGGCCTCGTCCCGCGCTAAACGGATTTTTCTACCAGAGGAACATCCCAGTCAGGTTTCTCTTCCTGGAGAGGAGTCATAGTCAGTTTTGTTCCCCTGGAGAGACGTTCCCGGATTTGTCTCCCGGGAGAAACGTCCTAGTCAAATTTCTCTTCCCGGAGAGGCGTCCCAGTCAGATCTGTCTCCCCGGAGAGACGTTCCTGGGGAAACGTCCCAGTCCGATTTCCCTTCCGGGAGAGTCGTCCCCGGAACAGCTTCCCAGGCACATGAGTGTCCTAGTCGATTGGTTCTAGGATGCAGTTTTGTTTGGTGCGTTAGGATTAGGCTAAGACCACATCATTTTATCTATACTACCTTCTCTTCAAGTCCACTTGGTCTAAAGTATAGTTTTATTAAAATGTGCTTCGTTCTGAACTGTCTAGGTGCGTTAAAGAATTCGTGCTACAAGTTGGAATCTGCTTGGTTGCGGCTGTGTATAGGGCGATGACATTAACTAAGCGGGTCCAGAAATGGCTCCTCCGTGGTTGGGGGAGTCGGAATAGCGTCCAACCTTTTAAATAGTTCTACGGAATCTCCTATTAGCTTTTTTATAAATAGAAAAGTACCCATCTAGGCGGCTTAGCATAATGCCGTTATATTATCTCTATATCGTAGCAGTGCTGGCGATAGATCGATCCGATTCGTGGATCGATCCGAATCCACGCTATCCTGAATCTGGATTAGATCCTTAAATTAATTTATAGTCTTAGCTAAAAATTTGCTTCCCTATTAATAAAACAACTTTAAAAGTCTTATATAATAAAATTCTATAAATTAAGCTTAACTCTAGTGCCTAAAAATAAGGGCAGTAACATTAAAAACTTTATATAACTACTAATGTCTAATAAACTTACTAAATAAAACAGCTATCTTCTTTCATACTACAATTTTTATAATTATAACTACACTTTAGAAGTTGTTATAAACTTTTAAAGGCACTTAAAATTTAACTACTAAGTTTTAGTAAACAGTACTCTTTTTTTTATATAATAAGCAGGTGCTATTAAACTCTAAGAGCTATAAAACTGCGCAGAACCTTACATAAAAGAAGATATATAGAATGCTGCGTTTAGAGCCTATTTAGATAAAGATATTATTTAAAAGGCTTTTATATAACTAATTATTTAACAGCGTCTTACTCTTTTAGTTATTAAATTATTATCTTTTTAAGCTTTTATATAAGTATTAAATTTTATTACTAGAGAAGCTATTTTAGTTTTACACTTTACTATTTATACAGCAATCTAAAGCTATTAGTATAAAAAAAAGCTTATTCTTTAGCGCAAGATTTAGATAGTAACTTTAAAAATTAATGTTACACTTAATTTTTAGACTTTTTTAAACTAAATTCTATTTATTATAATTACTAAACACTTTCTTACTTTATAACAAGTCTTAGGCTATTCTAGTAAAGAATAGTTCTTTATACTTTATATAGTACTTAAAGAGTATAAGATTACTAGAAATCTAAGAGCAGTTATTAGAGATAATGCTAGCACTAATAACACTCTTTATTATATAATTAGCAAGTAGTATTTTAATAAACTTAATCTACATTAGAATTCTAAGAATAAAAAAGTTTACTATTTTAGTTATTGTTAAATAGACTCTCTGCTAGCTAGCACTTAGTGTCAGCAAATGCGTACAAGACGGAGAGGTTTGCACAGTGTAAACATCGCACAGGGGTGTTAGGTAACTAGTGTTAATTACTTCTTATTTTTCCTCTGTATAGAGGAAAAGAGGGATATCTAGATGTTTACGCACAGAGGTTCGCGCACAAGCATTATGTGACATAGATACGTGATCCTGCTCGTGCGTGATCGCTTGTATCTAGGCCGCAACGCTGCTGCTGCGTACAGACACTAGCAACTTTTTTTTTTATCTAAAGAGTTACCTTCTATACATGTTACCTCCTTTTTATCTATGTAGGTTTATCTAATTATGTTCTGCTTTTACTCTACCCTATTTATTAGGACTTACCTTAGTAATGCTGTGCGTTAGAATAGGCTAGTTGTGCTATATAAATAGCTTTTTTCTTCTTTATCCTTTACTTTCTAAGCTCTACTGTACAATCCCCTAGCTCTTTTCTCTTTTTATATAGTGCTAACAGTAACAGATTCTTATAATAAGAAAGATAAGTGCATAAAATATAAAAAAAAAATAAAATAAAAATAAAATAAAAAAAAATAGGCCTTATATAAAGGCGTTGTTAGTCTAGTTAGTCTAAGGCATCTTTGCGCACAGGATCTAGCTAGTCCACAGATGCTTTTATCTAGACAAAGAGGCAGTTAGTTAGGACTAATAATTAAAAAGCCTAGTTTAGTGTTTTCTTTATACATACATCTACTAAGTTATTTTTACTATTAATCTACTTTATTTTAGTAATTTCTCTTTTCTTATATAATTTATAGAGTAATATAATGTTAATTATAAGTTACTTTTTACTAGTAGTGCCTAGCTTAATAAAGTAATTATATAAAGACCTTAAATTTACATAGATTACTACTAGAATTAGTAGCAGTTTAAGCATTTATATAATTTACTATAAAGTTATACTAAAAGTAATTACATTATTAAACTTTCTAACTATTTTATATAGTTTACTAGTAAAGACACTCTTAGTTACTCTTTTACACTTAGTAAAATTTTAGTGTATAATGTTGCCTAGTATTTTAAAGTAGTTACTTTACTTTATATAGTCCTTATTACTTAATATAATTAAAAATCCTAGCTGTAAGCTAAGGTTCTTATTATTAGTAAATAATTTATTTATAAAGATAAATAGCTTTACATAATTAAGCTATAATAGTAGAAAGGTAAAACTATGCTTACTATTATTTATCTACTATTAGATTTATACGTTAAGTGTGTTAATGTTATTATGTAAAAGGTCTATAGTTTATGCAGTAATAGATAGGTTAAACACTACCTTTAGTTAATACATAAATATAATATATACTTTTTTTATATATTACTTAACATATTATTGTGCAGCATTTTTGTCTTTTAAGTTAATTATATAAAGGTAGCTTACTTATCTCTTTTAAGTAAAAACTACTATATTATATGTAAGTTTAATTTTTTTACTATTAAACTTAATAAGCTACTTTTCTACTAAGATAGTTTTACTTTTTATGTAAAACTTTACTTTTTATAGTTTTTTCTTTTTTTTTTGTGTAAAATTTTTTGTTATAATACTTAAAGTGTTATCTATTTATAGGCTAGTAATACTAAAGGTATGCTCTTCTTTATTAGTAATTAAAAGGTAGAGGTTGTATAAAAAGATATGCATACATAGCTTTTTTTTATAGTAGTTATAGTATGTCTTAAACTAATATAGTCCTAATTTAGTAGCTTTATATAAGGGTTGTACAACCTAGAGTATTATATTTAGTAGAAAGCTTTAGCGCATTTTCTTTAGTAGCTTTATGTACAGTGTGCGCATAAGCTTATCTATTAATTAGATGTATACTTATATAATATTATATAGTTTAAAATGCATTTTGTATGTAGCTCTTAGGCTTACTTTTATAGCTAAAAGTAGTCTCTAGCTTATTCTTTAGATAGTTAGTAACTAGGTAAAGATTTCTCTCTTCTCTTTATCTAAGTAGCTAGCAAACACTAGGCAGGATTTCTTATATAGTTAAGTTGTTTTACCTTTTACTTTTTATATAAGGTAAAGGTTAAAAATCTAACCTTTATGCCTTATTAAGTTATATACTATAACCTTAAAAGTGCTATTAGTAATTAAGGTGTCTATCTTTATATAGTCTAATTTCTTAAATAGTTTTTTAGGTGTAGTAATTACACTATCTTTATAAAGCTTAATAGATAAGGCCTAATTATTCTTTTTTTTTTAGGTTAAGAATACCTAGTTTAGACTTTATATAAGTTTTCTTTGCTTTTTACTTCTCTTAGTATCTATATCTTCTTTTTACACTAGTGCAGCATTGCTATTCTAAGAGGCTTAGTCTATAGTAGGCTTTAGTTTTGCTTTTATAATATTTTTATAAAGCTGTTCTCTTTTCCTCTTCTTTAGAAAATTCTTTTATATAGGGATTAGTTTATCTAGGTTATTTATTGTAGGTAGGTTGTCTTTTTTCTTTTTTTTATAGTACAGTTTAACCTGCGTATATTAGAGCTTTAGTAGGCTATTTTTTTTTAATAATAACATTTCTTTTTTTAATGCTCTTAATTTTATATAGGCTAGTCTAGCCTTTCTTCTCTCTTTATGCTATAATCTTTAAGCTAAGAGAGAAGTTAAGAACTTTATATGTTGTAAAGCTATTATAAGTATTAATTATATAATTAATGTTTACTTTTATATAGTTCTTTTAAAGTATCTTTATTACCTTTTATATAGCGCTTGCTTATATAATAATGTCTAGTAATAGTAGAGAGTTTAGGTTAATTCTTAGGTATGCTCTAAAGACTAGCAGCGTAAGTACTAGACTGTGTGGGCTAGCTGTGTTGTTTAGAGCCTTAACTACTATCTGTAGGATAGCCTTATTATCTGTACAGTTACCTAGCTTAGTCTTTAGGATGTTAAATGTTTATTAAAAAGGTGTGTGTGCACACTTAACTTTTCTAACTGCCTAATGTGCTTTTATAGGCATCTGCCTATATATAGCTTCTATAATCTTTGCATAAGCTTAAAAATCCTTTAAAGTAAAGTTTATACTAGAGTTATGCACAATATAGTCTAAAGGTTCTTAATAAGTGTTAATCTAGCATTTACACAGTGCATCCTAGGTATCTTGTGTAGACATAGATTTTAGAAATATAGCAGCTTAAAATAATGTGTTTACATTAATAATATATAAAACATTTTTATTATTAATTTATATAACATTAATAATAACTTTATAGTTAAAGTAGGTGTTATTTTTAATTATAAACTTAAATCTTTGTAGGGCCTAGTTATATAATTAGTAAAAGTAGCAGAACTTCTTAATCTCTTCTAGCACTGCAGCATTAATGTTGTAGCTAGCGCTAGTTAGCATCTTCTAGAGTCTCTCTATATAGAGGTGTCTAAATTAGTAGTAAAAGTAGTAGAGTTTTAATTTAGTAAAAAAAGACATAAATTCTTTCTTACTAACATTAAAAAAAAAGTGTCTTTATTTTTATATAATAAAAATAGTAGTTTTGTCTTTACATATAATAATATTTAAAACATTGTTAAAGTATGCCCTAAGTTAGTTAGCATCTACTAGTAATAGCAGGAATAGTGTTAGAGTCTCTAGAATGTAATATGTTATGTTACTAACTAAGTTAGTAATTTATATAGTACTAATTAATTCTATTAATTCTTATTTTTTAAAGCTAATACTTTTTTTTTTTAGTGTCTAGTCTACTTTTATATAAAGGAATTTTTATAAGTATACTTTAAGTTATAACTTCTTTATAGTAGAGATCTTTACTGCGCTAGTATCCTATAGTTTACCTTAGTATACTGTATAGTATTAATCTTTAAGAATAAACTATTCTGCGTATTCTTTAGGTTCTAGGCTGTAGATGTCCTCTGCAGTTACATAGTAGAGAAATATAGCATTAGTAAAGTAGTTAATAATCTCTTTATTTTTTTTTTTTAAGTTATTATTGTTATGCAACTTTTTTTTTTCTACTCTAGTTTACCTTTAAACTTTTAAATGTACATATTTACCTCCTTATATG